TATAGTGCATTGTAATGACTCGAAAGTTATGATATCAATTAGCTTTCCTTTTCGATTTTAGCTCAAGCGCTTAATCAAATATTTTTAAATTGTTTTCATGAGTAAATATATGTCTTGTTTTTCATTTCTTTTTCTATGGTGACTTTTTTTTACTATATGTAAATATAATGATGTAAATAAAATGTAAGAATACATCTATACATAATCTAAATTAATGATAACTAAAACAAAATACGCTTAATTAAAATAGAAAAGTAATATTGAAAAAGATGGATCCTTAACTTCACAATCTTAAGAATCAATTGTACTAGAGTAATTGTCACGATTCGAGCCTACACCCTAGACGTGGCCGGCACTCGAGAACCATTTCTGGTCCCCAAGAGAACCCTCATCATGGCTAACTACAAGCGAAAGACTAACTCAAGCATACAAAGCTTAAAACTAAATAAAATTCATTGAACCCAATTACAATATATTTAACTCAAAAGATTAACTCTAAATAAAATAGTATATTCAATTCGCAAGAAATAGGCAACTCAAGCCTTTAAAACATGTAATAAGATAAATGAAACAGACTTCTCAAACTCTACTGTCTATCTATGAAGCCTCTAAATGACAAAGATGGAAGTCGGGACAAGACCCACAATATCCTGATGAAACTGAAAAGTAAATGAAATCCTCCGAAACCAAGGAGGCTCACTAGAGCTATCTAGAACTGCAGGTGGTATCAACGAAGCGTCTGTTGATGATCCTGAATACATGTATCTGCATCATGAAATGATGCAGGCCAACTGGCTCAGTACATTGAATGTACGAGCATGTAAGGAGAATTCTAAAGCATAAATATAAGCTTGAAACTGGTGGAAAAGAAACATACTTACTTCTTCTTAACTCACTCAACTTAACCCAACTCAAAGAAACATAGTTCAACTCAAGGAAACATAGTTCAACTTAACTCAGAGAAACATAGTTCAACTCAACTCAGAGAAAATAGGACTCAACTCAATGATAAGATATTCAACTCAGTGAAATAAGACTCAACTCAATAATAAGATACTCGGCACTAGGTACTCGACTCTGGATATTCAACTCTGGATACTCAACTCAATATAAAGCAACAATAAAAGATGCAATATATGGAAAGCTTTTAAAATAGTAGATAGCAACTCAATGTATTAGAAAATGCAACGTAACTCTATTTGTATGCAAGAACACAAAATATCTCTGTGTATATAAGAATACAAAATATCTCTGTGTATATGAGAATACAAAATATCTCTGTGTATATGAGAATACAAAATATCTCTGTGGGAGTTTCTCTAATCGACAATCATCAATATGAGTTATGTGATGATGTAGCGTCTTGCCTCACACTGCCATGGCCGTCCTATACTTTGCCGGGGTATAGAACCTACTACTAAGTGGATCCAGTACTATTTTATGCTAAAAAGCATTAAGGAATCATCTAAAAAATATGACCCTTTCTACCCACATTGGCTACATGGTTTATGGGGGCTGTGAGTTATCTGAACTCTCCCCAATATCGGTGTTCAATACTACTCCCAAAATATACTTGCTCATATGTTTTTAAAAACATAAATCTTTATGTGGTTTGGGATTATTACTCAAAAAAAAATCTCTTAATTGAGATGGTACTCTAAACTGCTCATGAAAACTCTTTTGGAAATCGGTGTTTCATCTATGCTTAAATGTAAAAACATTTACTCTTGGGATTACTTAGTTCTCATATATCATTTTAAATAAAATGAACTCAGTTCTACTCTTCCTTAAACTCATGTGCTCAAGTCTTAAACAAAGTTAAAAAGATTTGTCATGCGGAATTATGGGCATGAACAACTCAACGCAAACACTTCATGGGTAACATGTAATAGTTCCATGATTAGGAATATAATCTCAAACGGGTTAGGAACTCAATACTTAAGACTTAGAACTTGAAAATACTACTCCTCTCAAAGATTCTCAAATTATGAAGTTCATGCAGAATTATGCGGATGAACGACTCGACTCGAGGGTCTACTTAATAATATGGAACTCGTGTATACGACTCTTCTCATTCTCATACTTACTTCATCAAAACTTAGCTTAAATCAATAGTTGATCTCAAAGGATTCACAATTGAACTCAAAGACTTTATTGAACTCTACTCTTAACTCTCTCTTGAATTTGAATTATGAACTCACGAGTTGGATCTCGTGATGATAAATTAGACTCATGAATACATTCTCCTCATTCTCATACTCATTTGTACGAGTCGTGAAACAAGTTATTAGAAGTGTAGAAGACTTGGATTCTATTGCTCAACATAATTACACTCTTATCTACTCAATACATCCCTCAAAACACTCACTTTCATCTCAAGAATTCATCAAAACCCCAACAAAACAAGATTTAGAATGAAACTTCAAGAACGCTTATAAAGAACTTAAATCTTGCAATCTTTATGGACGAATTCGAATATGAAAATCATGTTTGGTGTGTGGGTGAACGAACCCAACACTATGAAAACTTACATACCTCTTAGGGATCAAACCCATGGAGAAAATCCGCAACAAAACTCAAGAACCTCGACGAACGTCTTGATCCTTTCATCTTTTCTCTTCTTTTCTCTTCTTGAACTCTCAACTAAAACGCTAGGCGTATATTAGGATTATAAAACTGAACCTAATTAGATTAGACCCCTAAAACCTTACTAAAAACAAATTAAATTTGATTGGGTAAGGAAAAGATCAAAATATCCCTTACTATTTTTGGGTAACTTTCCTTATTTGGACAGCCCGACTTCAAACGGGCATATCTCCCTCATAGGAGCTCGAAATTTAGCAAACTCGGTGGCGTTGGAAGATAATTCAAAGACCTTTCATTTGATATCTTATGAGGCACCTAACTCATCTTGTACTGAAAATTAAGGTCGTTGAAGTTGACCCAAAACTGAAAGGAAGTTAGGAATGACTTGAATGAACTCTCTTTAGTTCTTCTTGGAACTCAAGGTGATACATCTAGTGACCTTAACACTCAAGAATTTTAAATTCCTCGGTAAAATCCTTCTTACAACGAAGGATGGTTCGAGTTTTAGTTCAAAAAAATTCTGGGTGTTACAGTAATTTCTTACGGATGTCATACAAACTCTTTCTTCCAAAATGAAAAGAAATGAACCAATTAACCTAAGTTTACATCATTAATAATGGGAACCTTATGATTCACACAAGTAATTTTAACAATTTAGTCTACAACAAAACAATATATAATTATCTTAATTAAGAACCTTCAGAGTTTAAACTAGTTAATTGTAATTAAAAATTTATCAAACATGAAATATAACTTATAGTCTGGTTGGTCAAATTTTTTATTTGTCAAAAATGCTTATTTAAAAAAAAAAATTGAGATGTTTGGTCAAACTTTTGAAAGAGAATAAATATTTTTGGAGAGTAGTAAAATTAAATTTGTTTTTTAAAGCTAAAAAGTACTCTTTTTGTTTGAAAAATGCTTTTGAAAACATATATTTAGAAGCAATTTGGAAAAGTTTGACCGAACACTAATTATTGTTCAAAGGTGTTTTTTTTTAATTTGACTAGTCAAACATGAATGATTCTCATCAAAAGTATTTTTGTTAAATACTTTTTTCTTTAAAAAAAAACATTTTTAAAAATTTGATCCAAACTGACTATTAATTTAGTTTTGGAAGGTATATAAAATCGACTAATTAATATATTATTCGTGAATTTTGCTCTATTAAAATAATATCTAATCAGCCAAACATCACTATAACAATATTGTTACATAAGTGACATTCCAAATTTATTATCCTCCCTACCCACCCAAAACCCCAAACCAGCGGCGGCTCTATGCTTTGTAAAATAAGGCTTATGCCTTAGGGCCCCAAATTTTGGGGGCCTAAATTTTTATCAAGAATAAATTATGTCTTAAATTTTTATAAAAATATTTGATTATTTATGATAAAAAGTATAATATTTTTAAGAAATATATTATTTCACCCACTTTAACATCTTTTGTACATTATTAAAAATAAGAATTAATAGTGAAAAGTGTTGAACAAAGTGAATTACAAATTATTTTTATTTGTTTTTAAATTTTTGTTTCAAGCATTACAACATAGCATATTAAAATGGGGTATACCAAGTCATCAACTCTTGAAATTCTATGATTCTACTCTTATCTTTATTTAATATTTGTCAACTTATTACTTATAGAATTATGTTGACAATTCATATAATAATTGTCTCACTGAAATGATGTTTTTCAATGTTGAGCTAATAAAATCTTAACTAAAACTAATAACTGAAAAAACAATATTAAATACTAATAATTTCCATCTAAATAGTGTAAGAAAAATAAAAATTAAATAAATATGTATACGAAGTTTGTTTATATTTTAGGCTTCGAATTGAAATTTCGCTTTAGGCCCCCAATTACGCTGAGCCGCTCCTGCCCCAAACCCGCACCCCTTGACCATCACACCCCGTACCATCCATGAACCCCCACCCCTACCTGCCTCCTTAACGATTTGCTAGATAACATATAAATGATCTTGGGATAATATTTTCTTGCTTACCTACCAAACACTAAAAAATAAGTAAGAGATTGCTTGCTTTTCAAGAAAACACTTTCTTTCATACTAAAAACACGTCAAGTATGAATGACAATGAATTAATCAGACTTGTAACAAAGTCTTGACACAATTTCCTTCTCCAACTATTTTTTTTCCCCACTTAAACCTATAGGATTCTAAAATCTTTAGAGAGTGTAACAAAATATTTGATTTACGTGAATTTGGTTGTCATAACGAGATTATAATCATGCTTTGACTTCAAGCAATCAATCATTCAAGGTTCGTTTTGTATCTAGTAAAGAAGCAAGTTATTCATATAGTATTAATTAATACATAAGTTATACGACGTTTGATAGCTAGGAAGATAGGTCTATGCTATCTATACTAATAATAATAATAAGCAGCCCAATACTGACTAGACAAGTAGAAAAGTATGCTATTGGTTGATGGTATCTGGCATGAATTTGAGAATAGCAAGATAGAAAGCAGGCTCATCTACAAATTTGACTACTTCAAATGAATGGTGTGCAGCAACATTTTGCAGCAGCATCTTCTCTGGTAAGTTTGAGACAACCACATCAGGATATTGTTTCTGTTGCTCTTCAACCATTTGTCTGCCTTGTGGATGACTAATCACAACTCTTGCACCTGAACATATAAAACCGACTTTCAGTCTTGACGAAAACATAAGATCAAATGAAGTAGTAATCTGACAGAATTTCACCTGGCGAACAACGTTTTCTTAGTGCATCCAGAATTTGATCAAGTTCAAACGGCAATGCAGGAAGGAAGTAGAGAAAAACAACATCAAAAGGTGTCCACTTATCTGGTATGTATATCAATTCCCCTTGCCAACACTTAACCTTGTCGTATTTTTCCTTGATGCATGCTAACATGAAAAGAGAGTCATGAACGACAAGTAGTTGCTTGCAATTCGATGAATCAACTACTCTATCAACAAATTCATCAGAACTAATTGCTATCACAACCTTGGAAGTCTCCGTGATCTCTCCTGCTGATATGATCTCATCAATTTTTTGCTTATGTTCTTCACTGGAATCTGGATACTCAAGAAATGACCAGTCCTTTTCCATTACATCTTCAAAATTAATCATAGATACTGTTCCGTCATTTGATGAAGCAATAGCACTACAACAGGATTTCAAATTACTGGACGGAAATGGATGAGGGGATGCTAATTGGACATGGATTGAAAGGGTAATGTTACCATGACTATTGAAAGCATATTGTTGGTAGCAACTATGAGCTTGCTGTAAACTAAGACGTTGTCTTGATACGTGAAGAGGTGATGTAAGTGCGAGGAAAGACAAGGATGATGACATAGAGCTCATTGGTCCAATACTCTCTACAAATGCCGACAATTGATATTTGGGGAGAGACGAGATAAAATTCCTGGTTATAAATATGTCTTTAGCCTACAATTTGCATATTCTTCTGTGTGTCACCCCTTCAGAATTGTGTTTTCATCTGCACTGAAGCAAATACTTCTGAGCTTTTGTGCACTGCCATTAGATTGAAAAAAATGTTTTATGGAGATGAAAGAGGCCAAACAATCTCCATATTTAAAAAGAAAGAAAAGCTTAAAGTAGTTCAATAAGACATGTAATAAAATCTAATGCGGTCTTCTCAATAAGCAAGTACTTAATGATTGTTGCTTGGACTCTTCAAAAATGTCAACGGGTGTGTATCAGATTCGCCAAAAGTAGTGTATTTTTGGAGAATCCGACACGGGTATGGCATCAAAAGTGAAGAGTCCGCGCAACTTAGCTTAATGATGGTGTCTAGCAGTGTGATCAATGTGCAAGAGCTCCATAACCCATTAAGAGAGGTATAGATTACTTCAAAGATAACAACAATGTTAATTAGCAGACAGAATCTTAGAATCGGTCAGTTGCCCTGGCTTTAAAAGATGTAGGGTGACATGTTAAGGTAATGGAGAAGGCTTGACAGGAAGAGGAGGAAATGCAGATCAATTGTGAAATCCACTAGTACCAATGAAACCCGAAAACACAACCTCTTTTCGACCTCGAGTCTTAACAACAAGTGAACTCTTGCTTTAGGGCCTATCTCTTGTACTAAAGAAAAAGTATGATGATTCTTTAACATACAAACGGAAAAGAATCTCTTATGATTGTTTGGTGTGAGGTATAAGGTATAATTGTTCCAGGATAAAATGTAGGATTATTTTATACCATGTTTGGTTGAAGGTATTAGATAGTCATTGGATTAGTTATCCCATCATATTTTCCATAGTGATGGGATAAGTTATCTTAGTTAACTTGTTCCCAACCAAACGACCCCTTAGTCTCTATCCTTAATTGAATGAAGAAACATTGCTTAAACACACAGGGAAAGGAGGAAAGATTAAATCTTGTCAATTACTAATTCATTCATCAGTAATGTACCACATACACTATATTAATTACATCTTGACTACCAAAAGCTTGTTAAACCAACTACCTCAATATTCTTTCCACTATAGGCCATAACCCAAATTGGGAAAATTATTCATAATCCAAAAAAAATACAGAAACCCTTCAAATCTCTACTGTATTCAAGAACATAGCCCAAAACAATATTAAACTTCATCTATACATAAGAAAGAAATGAACAAACTTCAAATATATTTATCTGAGTGAACAAACTTTCATAGCCCAAAACAATATTAAACTTCATCGAAAGAAATGAACAAACTTCAAATATATTTATATGAGTGAACAAACTTTCAAGTAACAAATAGATAGAAAAGAAAGAGCGGAGCTAACCTGGAAATGGTTTGAAAATGGGAGTTGCGAAGCTGAAATTCTATCCATTTGCATACGGAAGAAACAGGCAGAAAAGTTGAGAATGGAAAGGAATAATTGGGCATCGTTAGAAGTAACCAAAGCCCAGCTAAAAGGTCAGGCCCATATACGGATGGCACAACATGTGCATAAATACCCAAAATTGGTGTCCCATCTATGTTATACATAAATAACCAAGTTTATAAATTTTTATGACACATTTCGAATTTCAAAATTCAAATAAATCTATTTTTTTATTATATATTTTTTATATATTTTTTAGATTGTTAATTATTGTGACTTATAGTACTTTTGACGCATTTTATAAATATATAAATTTCATTTAAAAAATAATTGATATCATGTGCGAATTCCCAATCAAACTTAAATTGATTGACTCTTGAAAAAAGAAATGTGTTGCATAAATTGAGATAGAGGAAAAATATAAGTTTAGCTACTTTTCAAATAACTTTCACATGCGTAATCAAACTGCAACATTTCACTAAGGATGACAATAGGACGGGTGTAGGGCAAACTCACTTAAAGCTCAACCCTGCTCAAATAGCAGAATTTTTTATTTTTGCATCCCATACACCTCCTGCACTTTGAGAAGGAGACAGTAGTATTGTGTGTTACTTTGTTGATATGTAAAAAAAAAATTTGTTAATGTGAACATTTGAAAATTATTTTTATTATTATTAAAAACATTAGTGTGAATATTTTAATATTAACTTATTATTATAATTTGTGATTGAGTTGTTGTATTCACGAGCAGGTCAACAAGATTACTGCTGGACAGGTGAAAGATTTGTTGCAATAGGCTTAAATCTCTTTAACAAAAGCGAGATATTTGTGCCTCAGCCTGAAGATAATTTATGTTCTTCTCAACTATAATTTGTAATCTGTAATTTTACAAACAATTTTAAGGAGAATCAATGGCTACAATTGAAAAATTCGCGAATGTCAAGATGAGAGATCTTACCAAGTCATTTCGATTCAATGGTAATCACTTCAAGAAGTGGAATGGTAAAGTACTTCTCTACTTAATTTTTTTCAATGTTTCTATGCTTAACTGAGAAGAATCCTAATAAAGTTGACAACATCTCCATCCATGAATGATGATGAACTTATTTATCTTCAAGAAAAAGTAGAAAAGTCCGATTGTGAAAATGTCAGTATTATATTATTAATTGTTTATCTAATTTTATGATTATTATAATAAAACTTACTCTAGTACAAAGAAATTTTGAAAAGCATTGCAGTGTAAGTATGTTATTGAAGAATCAAGAGCGAAAAAATATTTTGCTAACCCATTTGTGTTTCAAATGATGGACAAAAAATTAATGGTAGATCAAGCTCAAGACTTTATAATGTATGTTGGAGAGCTCAAATCCGAAGAGATCAGAATTGGAGAGAATATTATTGTTTGTAGCATAGTAGATAAACTTCCACCTTCTTGGAGGGAATTTCAAAAAACTATGCGCCACAAACAAAAGGAAATTTCTCTTGAGACGTTGATAATGAAAATCTGCATGGAAGAAGAGGTTAGGGGCCAAGATGACTTTTACAATTAGAAGCGAGCAACATCACAGTAAAGATAAATTTAATTAATTCAAATAATGATACTCTTGATTCTCGCAAAAATATTTCTATGAAGCCTAAGAAGAAAATTTTAAAGAAAAATGATGGTAGACCTCACAAAAAAAAAAAATAGTAAAAATAACCAAACACAAAATCAACAAGTTTAAAATAAGGGAATGTGCTTTGGATGTGACAAAAATGGTCATATTGCTCAATTTTGCGAATTTTAGAATTATGGCCCTACACCTCATGCAAACGTTACTGAAAAGCATGATTGAAAATGTTAATGAATAGAGAGAGGACTAGCTCTGGTACAAATTGTCATGTTTGTTATGACAAAGATTGATTTGAAAAATATACTCCTTTTGAGAAGTCCAAAATCATCATGCTTGGTGATTTTTACACCACTTAAGTGCTTGGAAAGGGAGATGTCAAATTTTGTTTACCTATGGAAGGGTATTAAATGTGAAAGATGTACTTTATACTCCTTCCATGAGAAAAAAAAATCAATATCTAGTTTTCTTCTTACCAAAGCAGGCTTCAAACAAATTATAGAATCTGATCAATATGTAATTGTGAAAATGATATTTTTTGTGGGAAAGGAGTATGTTTGTGATGGGATGTTCAAGTTGAATATTGAAATGAATAAAGTTTCTACTTCTATTTACATGCTCTCTTCTACTAATTTTTTACATGCTCATTTTGTGTCATATTAATTATCATTATGTGAGAATCATGAGTAGTTTAAGATTAATCCCAGTGATTATTTATTTTTTTGAAAAGTGTGAGACTTGTCGTAAAGTCAAAATCACTAAAAGGTCTCATTTTCAAGTTAAAAGAAAAATAGCTTTACTATAATTGATTGACAATGATATTTGTGAACTTGGAGAAATTATAACTAGTAGAGAAAATAGATATTTTATCACTTTCATTAATGATTTTTCTAAATTTACATATGTTTACCGAATAAAAATAAAAGTGATGTTCTTGGAATTTTTGAATTTTTAAAGTTTATTTCCAAAGGTTGAAAATCGATTTAGAAGAAAAATAATAAGAACTAGATATGATATATGCCGTGAATAAAAATTAAAATGAGTTTAATTCCTTTGTTAGATCGTTGGAAATGATTCATGAAACTACTCCTCCTTATTCTCCTTCTTCTAATTGTGTAACGGAAAGGAAAAATAAAATTTTAATTAATTTGACTAATGTCATGCTTATTGAGTCAAATGCACTTTTAAATTTGTGAGGTAAAACTATTTTGACAGCTTATTGTGTGTTAAATTACATGCCTAAAAAAAAGACTAAATTGATACCTTTTGAGTTGTGGAAAGATCACTAGTCAAATTTGAAATATCTAAGAGTTTGGAGCTATGTAGCCTTTGTGGGGCTAATTGATCCCAAAATTACAAATGGAATAAAAAAATTACTTGTACTTTCCTTGATTATGTTTTAAATAATACAACCTATAGATTTTTTAATCTTGAAGATAATATTATAATAACATCACGTGATGCTATTTCTCATGAAAATAAATTCTCTTTTGATTCTAAAAATAGTGAGAGTCAACGGATTGAAAACAATATTTTATCACTACTTAATTCTTCTACTTCTATTTTGAAAAATAATGAAAATGATGATTTTGAGTTAATAAGAAGTAAAAGAGGTAGAAAAAGATTTTGGTCCACCTCCAAAGTTTTTTTTTTTTTTAAAAAAAAAAAGGAATATGATCACCAGGAAAATGGAGTATGATAATTACATCCATCTTACTAGTCCTCAGCATTTCAAAAACTAATTTCTGTAATACATGTTACAAGTCCCATCCAAAAAACTGAAGCTTATTATTAATGCCTGTTTTTACAAGTTACCCCCAGTATCTGGTTCTTACTGTGCTTGCATGAAGCCATAAAGCCATCTTTCAGAACTTTGACATTCAACAACAAACTGAATCATTGATCTTCAAGGGGGAACAAAGTGATCCAACTTCTTCATTTATGTCAAGGTGCCTCAAGCAGTAACCATTGTATTCATCTCGGCAAGTGATCCAACTTCTTCATTTATGTCAAGGTGCCTCAAGCAGTAACCATTGTATTCATCTCGGCAAGA